AGTAATCTAATCTAGGTCTACCTCTACCCCTCCTAACTCCTGTTTCTGCCTCTAATATGTCTCTGACTAGACCTTCATGCCTGAGAAGTTGTCCTACCAATCTATTTCGCCTATCTCTTATTGACTTCCATAGAGTCCTCTGTTCTCCTACTCTTCGTAATACCTCTTCATTTCTAACCTTTTCTACTCACGGTATCCTCATCATTCGCCTATAACACCACATTTCGAAGGTTTCTAATCTTTTCTTTACACCTTCAACAATCTTTTTCGAATTTCTAAATAAATACCGGCTTACAGCCTTACAAAAAGGAATCTTTACAAAGGGTGATTCTTAATGTAACGAAAGGATTAAAAGGAAGCTTCTGCAATATGAATAAATATTATTACATTAATGTACCTATTTTAAAAGAATGTTACGTCAGTCGTGTGAGTTTAAGTTAGACACCTACCCGCATGAACAAATTACTGCCACATTCACTGTGTATACTTGTTATGAGCAAATGGACATTTGTAAATGCCACCGTTTCAAATCAGTTAGCGATGTCCCGGCAGATTTATGATATTGCTTTTCATTTCTTTGCCTTTAACTGACACACAACACAACGTATATGAGTAAACATTGTTTTGCGATGGCGAGTTGGTTCTTCTTCGGGTGTATGGTATAAACGTAAATTGTTGCTCCATAAGGTAGATGAGGTGATGTTAGAGTCGTTCATATATATAGAGGCATAAAGGAAAACGTTAACATTATATTTACTGTAATTAACAGCGGCATAAATATGTGCATTAGCCATCTGCTTCTTCTTCTTCTTCTTCCTTTTCTCTTAAGTTAATACGTTTTAAAAACATAAATTGTCCACTTAACGCCCTTTAATTACTTTTCGAGTTACAAAAATAAAGTACCGCACGAACAAGTTTAATTAATTGATCCTAATATCGCGATTAGAAGAATAATTAGAAATCTATGTGTTCATTAGGGACATTTCGTCAGTAAATAAATATTATATGGGGTAGGAATATCATGGCCCATGGAGAAACTTGATAAAAGTTTATTTCAAATTATTCAATTGTTTGTCTTGGACGAGGGCCACAAAGTTATGATAGGGAAAGGCAACACAGACGAAGTGAGTTGGTCGGGATATATTGGAAAAAAATTATAGGAACCCCCGTAAATTCCAGATGTAACAATTTTTGTTAAAGTGGGAGAGGACATTTGTCATAGTCTCGGATTTCACTACGTTAACAATAGATAAAGTAGGCAAATTTTCTTAATAAAGACCTTTCCTGTTACAGTCTCAAATGGTAAGAAAATCGTCTCAAGTTTTTGAACTTGCAATGTTTCTTTATTTGCAATTATAAGACCAATAAATTTTTGTGCGAGCTTTATGGTTTTGATTTATTAATATACCAAGATACAAGAATGTCCGNGCAATTACCTCATTATTAATTCGTTTCTTTTTTGACGATTATAAACTCGATGTTTACATATAAAGTATGTTTTAAATGCTTATTGGCGATACCACACGTGTGTATATTCAAAATTTAAATCAAAATAATACCATCATCATAAGGTCCTCAGTTCAAAGACTGGTTGGACATGCACCTCCACTCTTTTCTATATTGAGCTAATCTTCGCACTTCCACAAAACTAGAACAACACAAATCTAGGTCTTTCTTTCTTAACTCCTCTTGCTACCTCTAATATGTCTCTGACAAGACCTTCATGCCTGAGAAGGTGACCTATCAACCTATCTCGCCTGTTTTCTTATTGACTTCCATAGAATCTTGTGTTCTCCTATTCTTTCTAATACCTCTTCATTTCTAACCTTCTCTACCTACGGTATCCTCATCATCCGCCTATAACACCACATTTCTAACGCTTCTAACCTTTTCTTTTCCGCCGCGCCCACTGTCCATGTTTCGCACTCGTACAGGGCCGCGCTCAAAACATACACCTTGAAGAATCTTTTTCGAATTTCTATTAATTAACCGTTCGCTTCATTTAATTGAAGGTGTCTTGATCCTGCGCTATCCTCTGCTTTATATCACTACTACTTTCGTCCTGGCTTATCTTACTTCANCCACATATTCATTCAACAAATTCACAAACGTGTTCGGTTTTTAAAGGCGCTCCAATAACGAACGGATTGATTAATTAAATCTTTTCATCATCATAATCATAATAAGATCGCAAGTCCATAATCTACGAACTTAATCTAGGTCTGCTTCAATCTCTCTTTACTCCTGTTCCTGCTTCTAATACGTCTTCAATTATATATTCGGATACAAAAGTTACTCAATAAGCTTTGAGGCTGAAGGCCGAAATCTAGGATTGCTTCTCCTATTTCGAGAGCACCTAACCTATGGATTCGTTTATTCTCGGCGTTTCGGCAAGTACTGTCTCATCATGGGTATCTCATTGAAGGACAGGTAATTCTAGATCACGGCCGTCAATCTTGAACATCAATATTCAGATAACACCGGCTGGAAAATCCCATAACTTCTTTTTATACGTATTAAGCACTCCTAAAACTTACTTACAGGCATACAGCCCTTAACAGACAATTTTTGTTTTTTATTTCTACGCTAGACTTTTACTTTGTAGAGTTTTTCTCCTCAGCGGACTCTACTTGTCATACGACATTTTCTTTGTAGAATAACAATTATATTCTACAATTCTGTAACAGTTATTGTCGTCAATTTGCCACTGATAATGTAATAGTTGTGATGCATCTTCCACCTAAATTAATTATTTATAGACTTGCCCTCGATTCCGATTTAGTAATAATTTAATTTATTTACAAACATATCGTTTGATTTATAGCTATATCATCCGCCGATGATCGTTAAGATAACAAACATCGAGTAGTAATTTTGCAATAAAACCTACACAGAAATAGCGTCGCATAAAATTTCCAAGGGTTCGGCTTTAATCGGGTAAAAAAAACAAACAAAAATATATAACTTAAAACATTTATTATTATTTAACATGTATGATGCAGTTCACATTCATTACTTTACAGTCTGGCTAAAGCTATAATCGAACTTTACACTTTACTATTTAATATTGCGGTAGTTCCGTGAGACACGGCGGGCGATATCATAAATAATTCTTGCTACAAGACGAATAATATAATAATATATTTGTATATATATATACTATTATATTACAAGAACCTTTATTTTAAAATATTTATAGACAATATTTGCAACAATGTATATTTACATTTATTTGTACAATAGGTACATATGCCTGTTCGCACCTATAAAACCAGTGCCTTCTTTAATCTTACCTTTTCCTCATTTTCTCATAGAAAAATTCAAGTAGCCTAATCACATATCAAGTAGATTAAAAATAATTCACAGATACCAAACCAATTAATCGATCAATAAATAATATCCTTGGTTTGGTGAAGAGTTGATGCTCGAGTGTGTGTGTCTTTTTTATTTTAGTCAGACGTTACCACCAAATTTTGCGCACAATCGTTATCAGTCTGTACTTTCTTTTTCAAAATGCCCAAGTCCTGAACGTTTTCTAAAAAACTCTTATGGGCAGTCAGCAGTTTTGTGCTCTCCACGTCTTTCTTCAACTCTTCCATGTCTCTTTTCAGTTTTGCCCGACGGTTTTGAAACCACGTAATAACTTGGGCGTTTGTCAAACCCAAAGATTGCGCGATTTCATCTCGATCCGCTGGACTTAAATACTTTTGGTAAAGAAATCTCTTTTCCAATTCGAATATTTGGTGGTTCGTAAAAGCCGTTCGAGATTTTCGTTTCTTCTTTGGTTGTTGCCGGTTGTTGAACAAGTTGAGATGATTTTGGCCATCTGCAAAATAAAACAAAAAAACAAATTCAAACTATCATTACCACGTGTAAGTAAAAGTGCAGTCTGTACCTTATATGAACTTGGGTACTAAATGCACCGACCAAATTTCACACTCCAAATAAATGAACATAATCCTGATGTTAAACACAGTAAAGTTTTCTCAAACTTATTAGCAATAGCCACGGTTAATAAGCTGTTCAATTGGCAATTGTTCAATTCCTGTTTGTAGCAAGTACATTTACCGTGAAAATGACAATGCAGGACAGCCATATGCGAACATTAAACGCCATAAATTACAATATACAACACAGCAGGATAATGAAAATATTTATGTCACATAAACGACTTGGTAATTGACAATAAGCTATGTCATTTTACGCGAAAAACCGAGAAAAATTAATTGACTCCAAAGTACAACCCGAAAATGCCTGTTTTTCACTAGATAAGCCAATAAAAATAACATTTTGATAACTGTCCAAATGAAAGCTCAACGTCTCCTAGACCAGAATATTATACGGGATTGTCTATTTGAGAAATAAAAAGACAGAAGAAGTATTTAGTGTGGAATCCGAACCAGCAACGAATAAATACTTGATAAAGGACATCATGAAGCATAAAGGAAACAGAGAGAGAGATCAGGAAATGACAGAAAATAGTTAAAAACATAAAAAAGAACAAAATGAAGAATAGGACTGTATACCAAGTAATAAATTAACAAAGTTCAACAAATATTAACATCCCTCCTTTCATAAACAATCGTTACCTTCGTAAAGGTTGGAGATATTAGGTGCAAATAAAGGACAAAATATAATTTATAATTGCATGGGTTATTGGTGTGGATTTCTTCATCTATTGCAGTGGCAGTCTATAGTAATTAAGTAAAACCAAAAATAAAAACGCTCCCAAAATTGAGTAACCAGTTGTTAACACAACATCGATTGATCTTTCACACTTACTCGAAATAAACTGAGAAAAAAAAACGCCGCGTCTGTTAATATTCTGTTAATTTCATTATTTTGTATATATCAAAAGATTTACACCGCATTTCGTTTGAAAAAACGCCAAATAATTATCGTGGCAACATGATCCGACGAAAAAACATACGGTCGAACATACGAACCAAAAATAAGAAGCTGGTAGTAGTAATAATGCCGGGACGTCCTCACTTTTTCCTTTTTTACGAACTACATATCTGTCAGAATTCAAGTAATAAAACTATCAAGACGAGAAACAGAAATGTTCCTATACATATTAACACAACATCCCTGTCAACCGTTCACGCCAATTTAGAACATTAAATCAAGTTGGCGTGCTTGTTAAAAATAACACGATCTATTTTGTTTTGACGCTGCCCTAATCGTTTCACTTGATCTTCTTACGTGCATACATATAGATACCTATATGTAGTAGTCTGGTAATAATTTCCTTATAAATGATGAAGTGATTGTGTCCATCAAATAATTGAGATCACACGTACTTATTTATTAACAAAAATTACATAAAAAGTTCAATACTATTTAATTGAAATTGAAATTGACTTAAAGAGAGAATTCGAGAGTCCTTAATATCGCGAAACTTAATATTAGCAGATCAATTCATACTTGAATTCAACTAGTGCTTGAACTGACCAGAAAAATTACACATAGAATGCATTCTCTCCTTGTAGAGTAAAAATTGATAGATACATATTTTCTTTTGTTCTAAAAAGAATCCTGAGATCCTGAATTTCCCAATTCCTCCAAATCGCTAATTATCTCACAGATATCTATATTTGAAAACAACCTGAAAATAATGCAGCTATTGTTATATTTCTTTATTTCTTATATGACTGCCAACATTACCGATGGGATTGTGTGCGAAAAGAATTTTTCATGCCCACATTAGGTATGAAGGTTAGAAGCGTTCGAAATGTGGTGTTATAGGCGGATGATGAGGATATCGTGGGTAGAAAAGGTTAGAAATGAAGAGGTATATGGAAGTCAATAAAAAATAGGCGAGATAGGTTGGTAGGACACCTCCTCAGGCATGAAGGTCTAGTCAGAGACATATTAGAGGCAGAAACAGGTGTTAGGAGGGGTAGAGGTAGACCTAGATTAGATTACTGTTCGTAAATAGTTAAGGATGTGGAATTGTTCTAGTTTTAGGGAAATGCGAAGTTTAGCTCAGGATAGGAAAGAGTGTGGAGGTACGTGTCCATCCAGTCTTAGCACTGATGACCTTATGATGATGATGATGACATTACTGATGGGATTGTAAGCAAAAATAACTTTTCGTAAATCAAAAAAAAATTAATTAAATACCACGTACTCGTAGTGTCTCATTATTTAATCCAATTACACGTATATTGTTAGGCAGGGTTATTAGTTGAACTACCCCGTACGTAAATCTGATCGCTTCAATACAGTAGTTACCGAGATTTCGTACCTACGCCAGAGAAAACGAATACGTAGCTTGTTGATTAGTTTCATTATTAAATCGGATAGGAAATACAACACCCCAAATAACATTCCCAATAAGAGGGCGATCCATTTCGGGGGAGCACACACACATTATCTGTACGTGTATTACAGAAGGCCGCGGAAGGATAAATGTATCGGTCGGTGGACGTTAGGGGAAACCACTTAGGGTGACAATATGTTGACTTAATAGGTATTAATGGTTCGAGCCGGGGGATGAAGCTCGGAATTTCGCCAATAAAGCAGCTTTAATGGCCCGAGAACATTGGACATTACATGCCAGATCGGGCTCCTTAATATCAGTTTTTCTTTGTCAAAAATTCATCGGCGAATTTAAGTACTTTCACGCCTCTCGCTAAAGGACCTTTCCGCAAAAAAATTACTCTATTCTTCATAAAAATCGACACCGAAGGGTGAAACTAAAATGTTGTCTATAAAACCACCTAAATTACACAGAAATATTTTCATGAAAATCTAGTCATAATATTTGGTCCTGTGTAAATAGCGTTAGATCAAAATAAGTTGAAATATTAAACAACTTATCGCTGAATTTAAATTAATTTTATAATACCTGCTCCATCATAATCATAAGGTCGTCAATCCTAAGATTGGTTACACACGTACCTCCACTCTTTCCTATCCTGAGCTAAACTTCGCATTCCCTAAAACTAGAACAATTCCACATCCTTAACTATTTACGAACAGTAATCTAATCTAGGTCTACCTCTACCCCTCCTAACACCTGTTTCTGCCTCTAATATGTCTCTGACTAGACCTTCATGCCTGAGAAGGTGTCCTACCAACCTACCTCGCCTATTTTTTATTGACTTCCATAGAGTCCTCTGTTCCTATTCTTTCAAATACCTCTTCATTTCTAACCTTTTCTACTCACGGTATCCTCATCATTCGCCTATAACACCACATTTCGAAGGTTTCTAATATTTTCTTTACACCTTCAACAATCTTTTTCGAATTTCTAAATAAATACCTGCTTACAGCCTTACAAAAAGGAATCTTTACAAAGGGTGATTCTTAATGTAACGAAAGGATTAAAAGGATTATACAAGCTTCTGCAATATGAATAAATATTATTACATTAATGTACCTATTTTAAAAGAATGTTACGTCAGTCGTGTGAGTTTAAGTTAGACACCTACCCGCATGAACAAATTACTGCCACATTCACTGTGTATACTTGTTATGAGCAAATGGACATTTGTAAATGCCACCGTTTCAAATCAGTTAGCGATGTCCCGGCAGATTTATGATATTGCTTTTCATTTCTTTGCCTTTAACTGACACACAACACAACGTATATGAGTAAACATTGTTTTGCGATGGCGAGTTGGTTCTTCTTCGGGTGTATGGTATAAACGTAAATTGTTGCTCCATAAGGTAGATGAGGTGATGTTAGAGTCGTTCATATATATAGAGGCATAAAGGAAAACGTTAACATTATATTTACTGTAATTAACAGCGGCATAAATATGTGCATTAGCCATCTGCTTCTTCTTCTTCTTCTTCCTTTTCTCTTAAGTTAATACGTTTTAAAAACATAAATTGTCCACTTAACGCCCTTTAATTACTTTTCGAGTTACAAAAATAAAGTACCGCACGAACAAGTTTAATTAATTGATCCTAATATCGCGATTAGAAGAATAATTAGAAATCTATGTGTTCATTAGGGACATTTCGTCAGTAAATAAATATTATATGGGGTAGGAATATCATGGCCCATGGAGAAACTTGATAAAAGTTTATTTCAAATTATTCAATTGTTTGTCTTGGACGAGGTCCACAAAGTTATGATAGGGAAAGGCAACACAGACGAAGTGAGTTGGTCGGGATATATTGGAAAAAATTTATAGGAACCCCCGTAAATTCCAGATGTAACAATTTTTGTTATAGTGGGAGAGGACATTTGTCATAGTCTCGGATTTCACTACGTTAACAATAGATAAAGTAGGCAAATTTTCTTAATAAAGACCTTTCCTGTTATGGTCTCAAATGGTAAGAAAATCGTCTCAAGCTTTTGAACTTGCAATGTTTCTTTATTTGCAATTATAAGACCAATAAATTTTTGTGCGAGCTTTATGGTTTTGATTTATTAATATACCAAGATACAAGAATGTCCGATGAATGGGAATACATATTTTTCTACCTGGATTCTTTCGGATCTCGTACCTGCACCTGAATTCCTCCAAACAAGAAAGACCATTAAATATGCCCGAAATTTAATACTTAATGCAATGAGATTACAGTTTAAAACATTAAGTTATAGCAGCTCTGCTGTAGGTGAGGCTGCGCTGGACCAGACGAGCTTTCGACAGAAATCTACAAGTGAAAAGTGGACAACAATCGACTGGTTCGGTGTCGGCAAGACCCCACAAAGGCCGCAGCTTAGTCACACCTGCCAGGGGACCACTAGCGCCTAACGAAACTTGTACATCACGCTCTGCAACAATGGATTGACTGTGTATTCGCGAGAATTAAGATAATGAGCGATGCGCATTTTATAATACGTATTGATAAAAGGCAAACACG